GAATTATAAATCTGAGAGCTTCATCTCTTGAATACCCCAATCAATTCTTCAAGGTTACTTCCCGCTTTCTTTTTTTTTTTTTTTTTTTTTTTTTTTACATGTAGAAGAGAGAGCTTTAGATTGATACTGGTTCCCTTGGCCTCCTTGTTTCCACTCATTGAAAAGTGGATGCCTATACTCCTCGAGATTTTCTTCTTCCACAAAATCCATAGCCTACATAGTGCATTCACTCACTCGTTAATTTAAAGGTAAAGATTTAGTTGACAAAAGATTCATTACTAGCAATTGTATCTTGTCTTTTAACTATGATTTCATTTTCTAAGGCTGTTACAAAGAGATAATTCTTTGTAATTTGTTTTAATTTTGATATAAATGGTTTCTCTTTAACTAAACAATAAGATAAAATTAATATAGATAATGCTTTGTAAACAAATCCGTTGTTAATTTATAAGTTGTAACAAGGTTCAACCATGAGATCGAGTATTTTCTCACAATTCTTCTAATCTCGACGTACCCTGTTTTAAAGGCACGGTGTTCAAAGGAAGGAAGATCAGAAGTAGATAAAATTTTGCTGTTAGTAATTTGCTAGAATGGCAGATTCTGTTGGTAGGAGAGTTTGAACTATTTGACAGAAAAAATAAAAAAAGTCCAATGGTGTGAGTATTGGGCCCAAGCACTAGATTTTGATCAATTGGGCTCATTTTGAAAGCCCAATATTATAAACAACTGGGCTCAAGCACTAGATTTTGTAATTTTTTATTTTCTAGCCAGAAATCAAAATGAGTTGCCAAATCTTTCATTTTTCTTTCGATTCGATTACAAAAGTAAATGATGTAAAAAGATGAAATTTGTGCATCCTGAATCCTTCATACATATTTTTTTCAATGTGAAATCTAATTTTTGTAAAATCATGAAGAAGCACTAGAGATTTCAACTGAAAAACTATCTAATCTTAATTGAATGCAGGGTATAACCAAGCGTAAGCAAACATATATTACAACCAAAAAAAAGGGAAAATAATGCAAAAAAGAAAACAAGCATCCAATTATTTGATTATTACAAACTGCATTCTAAACAATAGCAAAGGACATCTCACAAAAGAAATGAAACTAAAATAAACAGATAAAAGGAAAATTCCCTTCACTAATGGAATTTAAGAAAAAAGTGCTGCCTTGCCAAACCTTTGCCATGCTGAATTATAAATCTGAGAGCTTCATCTCTTGAATACCCCAATCAATTCTTCAAGGTTACTTCCTGCTTTTTTTTTTTATGGCTAATTCCTGCTTCTTAATTCAAGATATAGACAAAACAAGTGGAAAGCGAACTTACAATATGATTCTGAACATTTGACGA